AAGCGAGAAATAGTAATACCATTGCTTTAAATACTAAAATTTTTTTTTTTAAAAAAAAAAAAAAAAAAAAAGCTGCTAAAAATTATTTTCAGTGAAATTTAAATGCTTTAACCAGAACACAAAGCTGCAAAACCCTGAATTTACCAAGATTGCAGATACACTGCCTCTTTTTAAGAAACCCTTTACTAGTGAGCTGTTCTAATAGTTAAAGGTTTGAGGGAAAAGATAAGGTCAGTCAAACAACTTTATGAAAAAGCAGAATAAGTTAATTAGTTTGAGAGCTTAAAAGAATGAGAGATTTATCAGAAGGAGAAAAAAGAGAGAGGCCATGGTACAAAATAGTTGCCTGGTTAACAAAGGATATGTAATTGGCAACTTGAAATGGATTAATCCAGGGGTGCTTAAGCTCTGGCCTGCAGGCCAAATGAAGCCTGTACAGGCATCATATCTGGCCTGTGGGACTCTCCACAGGTCAGGAAATTTGGCAGAAGGGGAGCCACCCACCCCCATGCCAAATTCCCCAAACCCCAAGCGTACTGTGGCCAGTTGTGGGCCACAGGCAACCTGTGGGCCAGGCTGTGACCCCTTCCCCTGTGGGGCTGGGCCATGCCTCTTTTGCACCTCTGCTTGCTTTTGGATTGGGGCCGGGGCCACATCCCCTTCTCTCCCTGTGGGTCTGGATTGTGGCTTAGCTATGCCCTGTTCCTCTGTGGGGCTGAGCCGCATCCATTCCCCTGTTGTGGCCCAGCCGTGCCTCCTTCCCCACCTCCTGCAGACCTTGGCCATACCCCTTCCCTCTTCACAGGGAAATTTAGGAGATTTGAAGCTATGCAAATTGTGTAACTTGAACTACTGCCCTGGAGAGAGCAAAGAGAATATCTGTTCGTGATGCTTTCATGACTCTTTGTATTGAATCGTGAATGCCATGAGATGGGAAAGAAACACTACCATTATTTTGACTGAGCTAGAAGGAAGAAAGACTGCAAGCTAAATTTTTAACAGGACTTAAGCATCATAAATTTAAGAGTCACAACATTAACCTTTTTGTGGTCTGGCTGTCAGAGTGGCATCTAGAGATCTTAGGGTTGCTGGCAGATGTTTAGATTAAGGCAGGATGGTATCTGAGCCACAGTCCCAACAACTGTGTCTCCTGCCATGCCACACGTGCACAGCAGGTAGAACGATCGTGGGTTTGAGGATCAGATCCCAATCATGCCCCATGGCTGGTACAGGGGGAGCTTGGGTGCTCCCAGCCACAGGTATCTTGAATCCTTCCAGCTGTGGGAGCGCACTGGGGCGGGGGACAGGTTTCTGAAGTGTTCCCATGGCTGAGAACGCCCATGAAATGACTGGCATTCCCAGCCACAGGAACGTATTGGATCCCTTCAAGGCTGATTGGTCAGGACACGCATTCAGTTTAAGGCATGATGGGAATCAGCTACAAAGCTATTATGTGTAGTTTGTAGAATAACTTTGTGACTTATTGTTTATTTTATTGTGTCATTAATTTAATGAATATATGGCCTGGTTACTACTTAAGAGATTACTAACTGGTTAATTATGCCTTAAGTGCAGTGTCTGCCAGGGGCCTTAAACTTTGCCTAACTGGATTATAGGCTGGCATTTACCTCTTTTTGGCATTATTAGCCCTGAATACTGTGTAGGAGTTAGGGGAATAAGCCATTTCTATACAAAATTGAGAAAGGAAAGATAGTGCTAGTGGAAAATATGTTATATTTTCATTTTTCTTTTTTAACTTGAGTTTAAGAAAAAGTTGCTTTGAGGGATCTTAGTTATTATTTCCCAGTGAGATGGAACCTAAGCTCCTCAATCAGCTCCAGCAAAATTAAAGCAGTCCTGGTAATTAGATGTCTAGGGAACTTTTCTGGCAAATAATTAAGTGCCTGTGAATGTTTTATATGTTTGTGGATTAGGGTTTTGAGAATCATCCTTTTGATTTAGTACCTAAATATCACTTAAATTCACTTTTGGTGCATGAGTTCTTCTGTGGATCTAGCCCTGGTATTAAGTGATTTGCAGAAGTCCATTGATCATTAGGGATCAAATTCAAATCTTTAAATCCAAGGCTGGTGTCATAAAACCTGAGCCAAGTGGGTAAATGTGCTTTAATGGTGACTTGTAAAGTAGAGAGGAACAAGAAAACTGGTAATTCTAATATTATAAAAGCCTGTGTCTGTCATGCTTTATTCACACTCTGATTGGCTGACAGAAACAGCCAATCAGAGTGCTCCAAGCGTGTGCGAGAGCTGTCATGATTCTGAAGCCGCTTTGA